CCGAATGGAGCTCTTGCTGTAGGTTACGATCCAAACTGGCAGCAGGTTTTGCAAGCTTCCCTACCAGAACCACCAACAGTGCATCCTGACCTTCAATCTGGCAGTCACCTGCCGCTTGCCAGCCTCGGCTGGGACTCCTCTCGCGAAGTTTCTCAGTCTGCGTGGAGTCCTCTGGCTGCTAGTCTGGCAGGGTCTCTCGGATTTGGAGCTGCCTGCGTGTACACTCAGTGGGGCTTCTACGTTCTGGTTCAGCTCCTGTTGCAAAGTCTTCAAGTTTCACTTTGTTTTCGTCATTTTTTATTTCCACAAGCAATGCTGGTTTTTTGGTTTCGCGTTGATGCAACGGAATACAAATTCGCGTCATTAACTGGAAGATCCAGCTTCAGTGGTATTCTTACTCTTTTGATGGGAAGTAGTTAGCCAAGATTTGCAGCATCTGGTTTCCTCCAGTCCATCCGAGGCTCCCATGTAAGTGGATTTTCAACACTGTAGGAGCACATTATTCCTACTGCAAGAAGAAAAGGAGGATAGAATCACTTACTTCATTTGTGTACATCATTGACAAGTCTTGTTTCCTGAAATACAGAAGAAATCAAAAGAATTAGACTTGGGAGTCACTTTATAGGCTTTCACAGCTGCACACAGCTCAAAGGTGCTCTGCATGGCACTGCCTGTAGCTGACATTTCTGTAGAATGTTTTATTTTTCCTCTATTGGTCTTTCTCCTTTTTCTGTTTGTTCTGTGTCTGTCTCTCCTTTTCTCTTACATGCTTACTGAAATAATGCTAAGTAAACACCTGAGCAAACTCCCATCATCTCTTGTTTTGTGCAGTGATAGATGTATTTGTACTGGCTAAACTCTCCTTCCTGTTTCTGGGTGGTACCTTGTTACTTGCACAGAGAACAATGGTTTCTTACAAACTACCTCAAATAAGAAACCTTTCCCTTCAGCTTCTAATAGACATACATGCACAGAAATAGATTTAACTGCAATATCTGACAAGGCAAATACGAGGTTAGTGGGCATTGGGCATGGAACAGTTTACTGTCTTCTGTAGCTTTACAGAAAAAGAAAGTAACAGATTTTCCTTTGCTGACTGCTTGTGATTAGGAGTTTTTTTTAAAAAACAATGTGGCTGAAATTGTAATTGCATGTCTTAAATACTGGGCTTTTTCAAAGATACCATACATATATTGCACAGAGGTAAAAGGTGTGCAGATTGCCTGGCTACGCAGTGTCTCAGAAGCTCCCAGGGACCTGCAAACCTGTTTTGCATAAAGCTGAACAGATTGCCCTCCCAGTTCAATAGAGTGTTTCATATGGCATGTCCTTAATTACGTCTCTGTATGCAAGCAGAAGATTGCTGCTAGCAGGAGACCATGGCAGTGCAGGCTGCTTGTGGCCACTGTTCAGGGACTGTTCTGTTTCTTTTCAAATTGGAAAGTTCCGTGGTCAATTTTTAGGATATTGAAACATTAACATAGTTTTTCTGGAGGATGAAGCATTGAAGATTTTTTTAGCTATTTGGAGGTCTGTTCTGAGGAGACTGTACTCTCCTTCTATCACTTGTAATGCAATATTTGCAGCAGCAGGTAGCCACTTACTTTACTTTAGGGAATAGTTACATAATGCTGATTTTTTTAATTTTTATTTTTTCACTTTCTTCTTTATTAGCCTCTTTGGCCTCACCACAGCTTCTCATCTCCTTTTTCCCTATGTACATAGCTGAGTTGTATTTTCTTGTGCCAAGAACAGTGAATCCATCATATGAACTTTTGTAAAAGTCTGTCACAGGACTACCATCCCTCCGCAATAAAAATTGCCAGGGATCAGTTGTGCTCTCCTTTCCTAAGCCAGGCAAAAAAAGAGAATTTTGGCAGGAAGTCTCTGTCGCTACAGGCTGCAAATGGGACAGGACCATGAGGATTTACATGTCAGCCGTGGTGAATGTGTGAGATTGTTTTTCGTTGCCTCTGTACGAAAGCAGAAACACAGTGGAAACAGAAGAGAAGGAATGCAGATGCTGCTTAGTGTGTTTGTGAGAGGCATTGCCGCCTCCTTGCTTTTCTAAGGAAGGTGTGTGCAGGTTTGCCCTTAACACTGTTTAAAGTTCCATTCATTTGATGTGGTTAGGGCTTGCATCTCTTTGTTAGAGCATAGTATCTCCTTATGATCTGGGAGTATGTGTTAAGCCTCATCTGTATGCGAAGTGAAGATTAGTAATCCTCTGCAGTAACTATATTAGATCTGCATTTTACACTGCAGCAATCCCTTCGGCTATGTTTGCGTGACTTGTAAAGGCAGAGGCTCCCGTTTGCTATTTTCAGCTGCGGGAGTGAGCTGGAGCTTGTGTTTATGTAACACAAATGCTGTTTATGCAGTTCATATTTCAAATACCTGTAGCTGGTCATACTTCAGCTTCTGCTGAGCCATTTTCCTAGGGTGTGGTTTTGCTGCTGATATAAACCTATGAGACTGTGATGCCGACATTATTGATGCTCCTTCCCTTGTTCCCCTGGTTCCTGCATTATGCTTGTGCAAGGAAAGCTGCAGGAGCTGCTTGGCAGGAGGGAGGAACACTGCGTCGTCTCAGGGACAGCCAGCGGTGAGATCTGCTTAGCTGTATCATCAGACTGCACCCTGACAGTGCCCCTGCCAAATGCAGTACATTCAGTTTTCAGCTGAGTCAGTGAGTGCGTAACGTGGCTGCTTCAGTTCTGGAGTCAGGGGCAGGGGTCAGGAAAGAGTTAGAAGACTGAGAGAAGGAAGGGAACCAACAGGACCACCTCCGTCTTTAGAGGCACAGGTCTAGATAGACATATGCCGGTCCGTGAAACAAGTCTCTGAGGTGGACTTAGACATGCATTCTGGTATTTTTTTTTAAATGGCAGACTTCTAAAATCTCTTTTGTGGTCTGACAAGCCAGCTTAGAAGATATTCATCATAAGGCTTTGTTCTCAGCGTGTGTGGTCTGAGTATTTTTTGTGGTGGGATTTTGTGTTAGAAAGCAGGCTGTTTGTTCTCGGGATCTGTCTGCAGTGGGTGGACAGTTCAGGTTAGGCTTTCAGTCCCTTCAGTTATGGGATGAAGAGACAGGAGGACAGTCAGTGCTACACATCCCGCTCACCAGCCAGTGCACTGAATGGGACCTGCTGTCGTTCCCTCCACTTGCGGGCAGGAGGACTGAAGCCCAGAGAATGCTTTATCTCCAGAATGAGAGGATTAGAGACCAGAGCAGAAGACCAGCCTCCCATGTCCACATTGTGGGCACCAGACACTCAGCAACCTGCCTGATGACATGTGAAGAGATTTGAAACAGAGACGTGCCTGCTATGTCCCATTTGTATTAACTGGGCCAATGAAATAGGCAGAGAAGCTCTCTTTAATCGTGGCTATTTCACAGTTTCTATTAATACCGCTTCTTGAGTTATCTTGCCTACGGTGTAGTAGAAGTGATACTCATTTATCCTGTCTGGATTAGATAAATCCTGGACTAGTGATGTTTTTGCAGTGTATTGAATATCTTGGTTAAAATAGTACAGAATAATGAAATACTGCTGCCAT